AAAACCCTTAAAACCCTTAAAACCCTTACTTGGCATGCTTCATCCTGCAGCCAACAGCCACCCCAAGGCCACACATCAATGGCTTCTTATGGGCCGCTTAAACAATCCCTTGGCATGCTTCATCCTGCAGCCAACAGGCACCCCAAGGCCACACATCAATGGCTTCTTCTGGGCGTCCAAGCCTGCCGTTTGCCAGCCCTTAAACCCTTAAAACCCTCCAAACCCTCCAAACCCTTAAAAACCTTAAAACCCTTAAAACACTGACTTGGCATGCTTCATCCTGCAGCCAACAGCTACCCCGAGGCCACACATCAATGGCTTCTTCTGGGCCGCTTAAACAATCCCTTGGCATGCTTCATCCTGCAGCCAACAGGCACCCCAAGGCCACACATCAATGGCTTCTTATGGGCGTCCAAGCCTGCCGTTTGCCAGCCCTTCAACCCTTAAAACCCTCCAAACCCTTAAAAACCTTAAAACCCTTAAAACGCTGACTTGGCATGAACAGGCACCCCAAGGCCACACATCAATGGCTTCTTATGGCCACACATCAATGGCTTCTTATGGGCGTCCAAGCCTGCCGTTTGCCAGCCCTTAAACCCTTAAAACTCTCCAAACCCTCCAAACCCTTAAAAACCTTAAAACGCTGACTTGGCATGAACAGGCACCCCAAGCCCACACATCAATGGCTTCTTATGGGCCGCTTAAACAATCCCTTGGCATGCTTCATCCTGCAGCTAACAGGCACCCCAAGGCCACACATCAATGCCTTCTTATGGGCGTCCAAGCCTGCCGCTTGCCAGCCCTTAAACCCTTAAAACCCTCCAAACGCTTAAAACCCTTAAAACCCTTAAAACCCTTAAAACGCTTACTTGGCATGCTTCATCCTGCAGCCAACAGCCACCCCAAGGCCACACATCAATGGCTTCTTATTGGCCGCTTAAACAATCCCTTGGCATGCTTCATCCTGCAGCCAACAGGCACCCCAAGGCCACACATCAATGGCTTCTTATGGGCGTCCAAGCCTGCCGTTTGCCAACCCTTAAACCCTTAAAACCATCCAAACGCTTAAAACCCTTAAAACCCTTAAAACGCTTACTTGGCATGCTTCATCCTGCAGCCAACAGCCACCCCAAGGCCACACATCAATGGCTTCTTATGGGCCGCTTAAACAATCCCTTGGCATGCTTCATCCTGCAGCCAACAGGCACCCCAAGGCCACACATCAATGGCTTCTTATGGGCATCCAAGCCTGCCGTTTGCCAGCCCTTAAACCCTTAAAACCCTCCAAACGCTTAAAACCCTTAAAACCCTTAAAACGCTGACTTGGCATGCTACATCCTGCAGCCAACAGCCACCCCGAGGCCACACATCAATGGCTTCTTATGGGCCGCTTAAACAATCCCTTGGCATGCTTCATCCTGCAGCCCACAGGCACCCCAAGGCCACACATCAATGGCTTCTTATGGGCGTCCAAGCCTGCCGTTTGCCAGCCCTTAAACCCTTAAAACCCTCCAAACCCTCCAAACCCTTAAAAACCTTAAAACCCTTAAAACGCTTACTTGGCATGCTTCATCCTGCAGCCAACAGCCACCCCAAGGCCACACATCAATGGCTTCTTATGGGCCGCTTAAACAATCCCTTGGCATGCTTCATCCTGCAGCCAACAGGCACCCCAAGGCCTTAAAACCCTCCAAACCCTTAAAAACCTTCAAAGTATGAGTATAAACCTTCAAAGCAAATAGAAAAACAATGTGCCACCGGAATTCATATATTTCTCTATTTTTCTGGGGGTTACTATATACAATGTATTCTGACCTCTCTTCATCTGTGTGGTCCTCGTAGGTTTGCCTCAGACCTTGAGGTGGTTCTCCGTCCGAGCAGCTCTCCAATGTGCGAAGGAATGGAGAATTTAGATCTGTGAGTCTCGAAAACAGAATCTACACATATCATTATCAGATATCTAACATGGTCTGGGTCGATCCCTAAAGAAGCGCCAAAATCTACGGTGCTCCGATGGATCTACGGTGCTCCGATGGGTGTAACATGGGTGTATTCTATCTATCTATCTATCTATCTATCTATCTGTCTGTCTATCTATCTATTTATCTATCTATCTATCTATCTATCTATCCATCGATCTATCTATCTATCTATCTGTCTGTCTGTCTGTCTGTCTGTCTCTCTGTCTCTCTGTCTGTCTGTCTATCTGTCTATCTGTCTATCTGTCTATCTGTCTGTCTATCTGTCTATCTGTCTATCTGTCTATCTGTCTATCTGTCTATCTGTCTATCTATCTATCTATCTCTCTCTCTCTGTATCTATCTATCCCTCTATGTATCGATCTATCGATCTATCTATCTTTCTTTCTTTCTTTCTCCCTCTCTCTCTCTCTCTCTCTCTCCCTCTCTCTACAGGACCCCCCAAATAGGGGGTCGGCGGCACCAGGGCGCTAGCCCATTCTATATATGTAAACATACATACGATCCCATCCCCCTAATATGATATATAACTGGTTGGAGTATACCTACCCATCTGAAAAATATAAGCCCGTCAGTTGGGATTATGAAATTCCCAACTGAATGGAAAGTCATAAAAGTCATGTTCCAAACAAACCAGAAATACCCCTTTTTGGGGGCCGCCAAAAGGATTTGCTCCGGCGATCTCCGCGTCCTCCAGCGATGAAAGGCCGCCAGCAGGTTATGCCAATCCGCCACCTGCTGGTAGCGATTCCGCAAGTAGCTCCGGGCTCCTAAGCCTCGGCCGAAGAGTGAAAGGGTCATCGGTCAGGAGAAAACACAGAAAAAAACATAAAAGCCAACATTTGTGGCCCGGAAAACAGTTATTTTTATGGGTTTCTAATCATATATAACCTGAGAAATGGACATTTAACACTGTTAAGGGCCATAACTGAAGGGATCTTCATTACGCGTCATATTTGTTTAAGGGTTATTTTTTGGGGGAGGTACCAACAAGTCCTTTAAGAAACAGTTGCATTTCAGACACATGTTTATTGGTGGGGTACCAACAAAATGCTTTTTGTTCATGGTTGGGCTTTGATTAGATGAACAATTTCAAAACCTTCGGCTGCTTTATGATCGGGTGACTGTGTCTATCTCATGATCGTGGGAACTGGCCAATATGTTACTGGGGATTTTTGAAACCCGAGCAAATCTCCATTTTAAGATCCATTATCATCCATTATCAAGCTGTGTTGCTGACATGGCTCAATTTCTCCACCAAAATCCAACCCAGATGCGAGCCATGATGCTGGGATATTTACATACTGGGCCATTTTTGGGGTAAATGTAGGTAAATATTCCAGCGCCATGGAGCATCTGGGCAACTGATTCTGACTGTTTTCACCTCATTTCCTGAGTGTTGAGAATTGACCGGGACTTCTCTCCCTCGAATCTGCAGCCGTTCGATAGCGAAGTTGGTTGTTTATAACTACAATGACTCAGGTTGTGGGGGATTCATTTGTAGTTAGAATGGGGTTCTAAGCCAAATTATAACGTTTTGGGGCCTCACTATGTACGAACTAAAGAAACATGGGGAAGTACCATTGGAGTTGAATCATGTTGAATCCACATCTCCGCCGGCTTGAAAAATATCGATAGAATCCTGGCAGTTTCAGGATGCTATTTGGATGTTTCCAACAATATGGTACCCCAACAAGTGCCCCCCCGCCTAGTTGTAAATTGGTTTGTAAGGTTAGTTCATAACCCCCAACAAGCTAGGTAGTTCAACTCCTATGTATATTATAATATATGATACCCTCTGGTTATTTAACATAGCCATGGAAAATTGTTCATTTTTAATAGGTAAACCCAGGTAAACCATCTATAAATGGGCCATTTTCCATGGCTATGTTATATAACCAGAGGGTACTATATAATAACCGATCCACAAGAGTACATTTGGAGGTTTCCGTTTCCCAGCCATCATCCATTTTAGAATTAGGATTATCCATGAAATAAACCATCCAGCGATAAAGGGGTATCCATAATTTATGGGGTACCTATTGGGGTACCACCATTACTATGGAAACCTCCATGACTATATAAACCAACCTGAACCAACCTGAACCAACCAGCTGGGTACCAGCATGGCTTACAATGTGAGGCCCCCAAGATAGCTAAGTTGGCTTATAGCTCCAATAACTAGGGTTTATGGTATGCAAATAACTATAGTTATTGGGGCTTATAAACCAACTTAGCTATCTTGGGGGCCTCACATTGTAGGGAACCTCGATTTTTCATGGCTCATAAATCTCGGGTTCCTGGTGAAAATCACCCCCGGGAACACCTTCCGCCAAGGAACACCTGCGGCGGCTGGACGTTAAGGACCAACGCCACAGGGTACAACCTGATCCGTTGACGAAGCAAACAGCTGCGAGTTATGGGAAAATCATTGGAAAATCATGGTAAATCCCCGAACTCAATGGAGGTGTTGATGGGAACATCATTTCATGATAGAGTTGACCTTAGTTTTAGGACTTATAATCCCATTAAAAACTGTTAGTTGGGCCATAACTGTACCCTCTGGTGCACGAGCATCATACAAATTGGATCTAGAGATCGGGCTTCAAATTGGTCACGTGGATCTACAGAAATTGGTCCCTTTTGGGTCATCAAATGTGGCGATGGCTCCACGATACCCTCTGGTAATTTGTTACATTGCCATGTTTAAGAACGGTAAACCATCTATTTCATTCTATTTCTATGGGCCATTCTCCAGTTCGCTATGTTAGTTTACCCGAGGGTAATGGAGGTTTATAGCTGAGAAAATCATCCAATTGTTGAGGGATCTTCGAGGAAGCCACAGGTAATGATTACCGGTTAGGCTAAGCAAAACGTCTAATCCAGATATGGCCATGGATCAATACCTACAATGTGAGGCCCCCGTTCGATAGCTAAGTTGGTGAACATAACTCCAATAACTAGGGTTTATGGTACGCAAATAACTATAGTTACTGGGGCGAATCTAAACCAACTTAGCTATCTTGGGGGCCTCGCATTGTATATATAAATGCATTTTTTACAGGGGATGAACATCCATTTCCCTGTAGCAGCTATTTTGATGTGAAGTAGGTTTTGACATGTTTTGACCCATCCCCATATAATCCAAAACATAACCTAAGTAGCTGCCAACCATGGATGATCCAACTATTGGGTGACTGCAGAAACAAATGATCAAGGAATCAACTTTTTGGGACGTGGTATCGAGCAATAACAGGGACATCATGTGGGCACATTGGGTATAAAGTGACGCAGGACTATGGTAGTTCCTTTAGCCAACAAGTATTTAAACAACTGATTTCAAACAAACAACCAAGGTTTTCAAAAGTGGGGGTAAAAATAAGGTGACGGCGCCTGTAAGAGGCCGTGTTTTTATGCTCATTGCATTTGCACCGATGAAATCAATTGCTTCAAAAACCCAAGGTTTTTGCACATTCTGATTGAAGTCCATCATGAATCTAGAGAATAAAACACTGTAAGGCTGACCGAGGACATGCGTTTTTGGAACCCCGCGCAGCATTTTCATCACTTTTTTAACTCTTTGCCAGCGCGCCTGAAGTTTCTATTTTTTTTTTCGGCACTCTTCTGCCAAAGCTTCCCACAATGACTTTGTGCATTGTCTGCGCCACAGCCAAGCATAAACATACGACCAGAAAAGTTGATCGTTCACATGTCCATCAACTGCTCGGCTGGTCACAGTCTTTGGGATTGCCTTTTTGACATGGTGCCAGATTCTGTCACACTGCTGAGTGCCCGCCTTTTTCACACCTGTTCTCTTTCTAATTGCAACAGTAAACTGCGACTGCGTGTGCTTCACTTGAAAAAAGCGGAGACCCTTACTCTTCTGTTGACTCTTAGCTGCGGCCTTGTACGCATTGGCCCCATCTGTGAAACCGGTGGTTCCGCACTTTGTTTTGTGCGAAAGGCACGCCAAGATTTTGTCAGTTGCATTGGAATTAAGACATGTGCCACTACAAAGGTGTTAGGATCGCTGTGACTCATCAGTCAAAAAAGAGAAAACAATGAAAGACCAAAAAGAACGAAGAATGAAAGACAGCGTCAATGACCCTACGTGCGTGTGTTTGTTTACATAAATCATGGCGGGTATTGTTGCGTGGCGAGCATGCTGCAAACAACCCTACACCATGCCTGTGTGCTTTCCACTGGAGGTTTGCCTCCTGCAGGTACCAAGCGCTGCTCACAGGGCCGCAGAACAAGCTTCGTGGATCCTCTCTTGCAGCATCCGAAGACACGAACGTAGAGCAAGAAGTGCTTGGGAAGTGACCTGACCATCCATGTGCAAGATCGAGTCCGACCATGTCATGGTTTTACAACAAACACAGGGCCCAGCCTGGACCGATGGCTTTTTTTCCACTGCTCTACCAGGTGCTTATACTTCTGGGTATCTTTGCCAATCCTGATTTTTCTCAAACTGGTAGCGTCGAGTTCCACAGCGCCAGACATCCGGGAGCGATTGTTCATCTTCTGTCCGGCCTGACTTTCCACAGCTCGAAGACGTTGGATAAGTTCAGCTACAGGTTTGTAGGTCGTGCCAACGCTACGAGCTAGAACATATGGAGACGCAGTTGCCCCGACATGAGTGCCAGTGTATTGCAGAAGCAAGCTATGCAGTTGCATAGGCGACAGAGAGAACCTGCAAAGATTCTGGAGCCACCTCGCTTGCGTGAGAACATTTGTGCGACGACGGCAGTCCTCGTTGCAACATCTTCTGTAGACATGCTTGTCATTGTGCACGTACAGCTTGCCTAAGGACCACTTGCAATGCGAGCAACGATGCGCCCGTGGAATGTACCCGGCAGTTGCATAGGCGACATAACGAACTTCAATGCTGCCAAGTGTTGACACAGATCTTCCCCTCGCTGAGGATGGCACCTGGGCCAAGAAAAAGCAGAACATCCCCCAGTAAAGGTATTTGCGTAATGCATGATGAACATACTTACCTGAGAAACCTGTAATGAAACCATGTTCAAGTGACACATATGTGTGGAATTAAGCATTAGCTGCATGTAGAAAACTACACCTTGGGTAAATATCTTTAAATCAAAGAAAGAACTTGCTAACACACCCCCAACAGCCCCCAGCGACCGCAACGTAGCATGACAAGAGTGCGCAAGTGCAAAAGAAGAGCTTGTGAACGTAGCATCACGTAGTTGTATAACTTGAAGAGAACGTGCACTAGCGTAGCATCACGTAGTTGTATAACTTGAAGAGAACGTGCAGTAGCGTAGCATCACGTAGTTGTATAACTTGAAGAGAACGTGCAGTAGCGTAGCATCACGTAGTTGTATAACTTGAAGAGAACGTGCAGTAGCGTAGCATCACGTAGTTGTATAACTTGAAGAGAACGTGCAGTAGCGTAGCATCACGTAGTTGTATAACTTGAAGAGAACGTGCAGTAGCGTAGCATCACGTAAGTGTGCAAGTCCCATGAACGTTAACATCCCCCAGCATCACGTAGTTGTATAACTTGAAGAGAACGTGCAGTAGCGTAGCATCACGTAGTTGTATAACTTGAAGAGAACGTGCAGTAGCGTAGCATCACGTAAGTGTGCAAGCCCCATGAACGTTAACATCCCCCACCCCACCCCCCCACCCCACCCCCCCACCCCCCAACGAACCGTAAATGAAGAGACAGGAAAAATGACATACGCGCACGGCCTCTTATAGGCGCCGTCACCAAAAATAAGCCATCTATTTCTGTAGGATTTTCCATTGCAAATCATCCATTTTGGGGATCCCCCATTGATGATACTGATGGAACAACCAAAATGGAAACGTATGGATGTAGTCAGCGCGAAACGCTGATAGGGGTCCCGCTTGAAGGATAGACAAGTCATGAACATGGCCAACATCAGATGCCCTTGGCCCTTCAGCTGTTGTATAGTAATTAGGGTATGTCTTAGCCATACTTTGGATTTGGGGGTGTATTCATGGGGTTTATAAACCAAAAAACATAATGTTTGGGGGCCACACATTGTATCAAAATCCACAAAAATCTAAACATGGTCCATTTTTGATAGTCCACAAAAAATGTAATCTTTTGCTGGTGATGGTTTATTTCCGTTCATAGCATTCATAGCAACAAACTAAAGGTTGAGGATAAAAAACCATGAAACAAATTCCAGGTGCTGAGCAAACAACACCAACAACATAGTTAATCATGAATACATAAACATTTATTTATATAAACATCCAGACCTTTAGTACTCGAGGGTATCATAAATACATAAACATCTCCAAAACGACTGTTACAAAAACAACCATCATAAACAAGATTGGTGTTTAAACATTTATAAAAATCACCAAAAACAACACGTGAAAAAATCCCAGCTGCTGAGCAAAAATCGCAGTTCCTTCCGCTGCTTCAGCCAGGCAAAGCGTGCCAGCGCCAGCCGTGTGCGGCGCCGGAAGTCGGCCTGGGGGGTTCGCTGGAGGTTTCCTAAGTCATAGGGAAATCCCCACAGTTATGGCCCAACAGTTATTTTGACGGATTTATGTCATGATATCTATATATATATAATAACCTGAGTTTTAGGAGTTATATGTCCATCAAAATCACTGTTAGTTGGGCCATAACTGCAATAGCTGGATGGTTTCTAAAAGAAACACCTATCAATAGCTGGATGATGGGAGGTAACCCATGAGGAAACCTCCCCCTGGAGCTACCAATCAATCATGGCTTTGTCTCAAATTAGACAGGACCCAAAGAAATCATGGCCATAACTGGGGTCTCAATTTTCGCGACCCATAAAAAAACCATGGACAGTGCTTGATTTAACCATTAACAATTTGGATTCCATGGGATATGAACGGGATATACAAAAAAAAAAGTTTGATATGATGTGCGGTCACCCAAAATCCCACATCTGCCCAAATGTTCCACTGGAACATCTACCAACATTTATACCATAAAAAACCTCTAGTTTTGTGGGTTGATGTACCCTACAAGAAGTATATATACCGAATATCATCATATCGGATGAAAGTTGGTCATGTATCGCATGAACGTCCCATTAAATCCCAATCTGTCATGGTTAAATGCAACACTTTTTACGGCTAATATCTTACCCTCCGGTAAACTAACATAACTATGGTAAATCACAATTTTTACTAGGTAAATCAACCATAAATGGCAATTTTCAATAGCTATGTTAGTTTACCAGAGGGTACTGATCCCGTGCCCAGGATACACCCATTATTAACGTATGATAGTTCATGAGATCACCATCAAATCCCATGGAGTCACCCACTACATTACTAACTATGGTTATCAATACTTTACATTTTATCATATATCATATTATATAATGGTTATATATATATATATAATGTAATTATATATATATATACATATGCATGTGTATGTATATATAAATATATGTATGTGCCTATATATATATATATATATGTTTATGACCCTATATGATATGTCATTAAAGCACCATAGAATCTGACCCCACAACCGGTGGCCTCTCGTTTCTCTGCTACTGCCGGCAGCGGTACCCGCTGCGGTGGCGGCGGCACTGCTACCTGCAGGGGACTGTCTGCCTCTGCGTCCGCGTCCTGAGCGCGCCCCGATTTCTCGGGGCTGAGAAATTGGGTCCAAGAATTTATGGTAATGCCAACCCCGGATTAATAAACCCCTAGGCCGTTTAATTGGGGGGGTACCATTTAAGTATTGGATTATGACTATTGGAGGAGTACCCCCCTAATTAATAAACCATGGTTTATTAATCCGGGGTTGACATTATATGCAATGTGGTGCTCCAGTGAGCTAAATCGCGTTCAGTTGGGGTTCACATCACTTCAATACCTATGGTTTATTTTGTAGATATATATACAATGGGTTTTTTCTAATGGTTAATAAACCAACAAAACATACCTGGGGGGCACAACCCAGGGTGCTTATGGATCAAAACCCTGGTACCCGGATGGTACCCTCAATGTCAGCTGGTTATTAATGGATGGTAAAAATCCTCCAGTCATATGGTACAGTTGAGGCCATTTATCAGTTATAAGTACTTATAACCCCATTTATAGAATGTATAATCCCATCTATAAGCAGTTATAACTAATAAATGGCCATAACTGTAGCAATAGGTTTTGACCCATCACCCAATAGTAAATATGGAGGTGTCCGAAAATGAGGCTACCCCTGAATCATCCAAATTAGAGATTGGGATTTTCCATGAAATAAACCATCCATTCTCGGAGTATCCCCATTTATGGAAACCTCCATATTAGTAAATTGAAACTACTAGTAACTACCAGTACAGTTATGGCCCAACTAACAGATATAAATGGACATATAACTCCTATAATTCAGGTTTTATATATATATATATATATATCAGTGTAAAACCCATAACTATAATGAATCATGTTCCCTCTATGTATGTCCATGTTTTACAATTATTTACCATTATTAATGTATCACCATTAGAAAATGGTGGAAGTTTTCATGGCTTATAAAATCCAACTCAGAAATTTACCACTGCCCCACCTTGTAGGATCACCAAGAAGATGCAGAACAACCAAATTCCGCAGTAAACATTGATGAAAAAATGGTGATATAATGGTGATTCAGTGGTGATTTAATGGGGATTAATGGGAATTAATGGTGATTTATATGGGATACCCTCTGGTTGGTGGTATACCTACCCCTTTGAAAAATGATGGAGTTCGTCAGTTGGGGATGATGACATTCCCAATATATGGAAAAATAAAAGTCATGTTCCAAACCACCAACCAGATCACTTATAGGTTTTAAATCACTTGTTTAGAACAGAATAATAAGTTTTAAACTTTTTTTAAAAAATTATTAGGACTGTAAATATTAAGTTTAAAATCACTGTTCTATATGTTGAGGTTCCTAAAAATATGTACATATAGTATGTAGTTTACACAGTGGAGGCAATTTACACACCAAAAAGTAGTCTATTGTTATATCATGGATAGAAATCGTAAATAAATCGTTTATGAACAACATGTCTTATTCCATCCAGAAAATACTCCAACTTATCTATATAAATCAAAGAGCCATTCATCGTACGTCACTTTGAGCAGCAAACATATTGATGTCTGGGGGTTCAAAATGTATGTGCTTCATTTGAAAAAAAACAATGTCGAATTATTTGAATTGAAATATATATATATATATTATCATATATATATATATATCATATACATATATATATATTATAAACATTTATAAACCTATTGCATAGAGTATCATCTATAGAAACCGCTACAAATATAGCAAGGCATTTGTATATAAATATCACTGTTCAAGTTGTATTTTACTGTTTTTTTTTAGGAGGGATTACTACACAATTTAGAGAGATGACTTACCTTCCATGGCTATGCTAGTTTACCAAAGGGTAATACCACTGCAAAAATGGTAGAGAACCATCGCGTCCCCACTTGGAGATTTATGGCATTTAGCATTGGGTCTACGACATTACCCGACGAATTATCACTAGCCACTATACATCACCATGTTTGATTGATTTGGATACAAAATCGATAATGTTAATTCATAATCAAACTATTGTATATTATTCAAAGTTAGTTCTTGTATGCTGTGGGATTCTAACCATCGTGTACTTTGCATTATAGTCATTGGGAGTTTCCCTAAACCATTCGCCAGTGAAGAACTTTGATCGAAACGCCTCGGGTCGTGATACTTCTTCGTCTTCGCTGGGCCAGATTTCCGCGAGATCTGGCCTAGGTTTCGCCCCATGAGCCTTATATGGTGGTCCCAAAATGTGGTGCCCCGCAAAAGTATATCTAACTTGTAACCTCTATGTGGATTAAATCATATAGTTCACATATGTTAATATTATCTATCCTTGTAACTACAGTATGGTAGTTGTCTATGGTTGTAAATTCGATTATCAAACCAGTGAACGATTACTGTAAGATATCATGCCGAAAAAACTCGTCAAATCATGGTTCTAGTGTAAATCATCCCACTATGAGGCACCACCTTGCAAGGTAAACTTATATGTGTATATATATATATATATACTGGTTGGTGGTTTCAACCCCTCTGAAAAATATTAGTCAGTTGGGATGACTATTCCCAATATATGGGAAAATAAAAGTCATGTTCCAAACCACCAACCAGTATATATATATATATGTGTGTGTCCATGAGTTTTCCTGGGAAAGTGAGCTTCACATAGTGGATTTGCCATGATTTTCCGTGTCTTTATCTTGGTTCACTGAAGAGTATAGTTTGTAATGTGGGTTTGTCTGAAAATATGGTACCCCCAGAAGCCAATAGTCTGTCAACATGTCTCTTCCATAGCTTTGGATACGTACACGCATGTGTTCAAGTCGTGTGCATATAGGTTTCCCCCTGAAGGGGGTCCTATGATATATACAATTTAAACATGATATGTATATATATAATATGACATGTGATATTAATGACATGATGATATTATATATATATATACATATGTATTATGATATGTGATATGATATGTGATGTGATATGATACCATATGATATGATATGATAATATATATATAGATATAATATGATGATGTGTGACATGATATGTATGTATGTATGTATGTATGTATGTATGTATGTATGTATGTATGTATGTATGTATGTATGTATGTATGTATGTATGTATGTATGTATGTATATATATACAGTATATGTTTTTGTTGAAACGGAGGTTCCCTAAGTCACCATAGGTGACAATACCAACTCGCCGCGAAAACGCGTCGCCTGTCTGACCTATTAACAGTGACGACCCTTAACAGTTATACCCTGGAGAAGACCAACATAGACCTGGAAAATGGCTCATTGAGAATTGATATACCAGAAAATGGTGATTTTCCACATCTGTTAGTTTACAGGTGGCAAATGGAAATTTAACTCCTGTAACTAAGGTTATATATATATATATATATAGTCACTTAATATATAATCACTTAAATGATGTTTTTTGAGCCAGTTATAAGTGTGAAGGGCTGTAAGTTGATTCCTATGTGCGTTACCCTTATCATACCCCATTATTCATGTCATCATGAGGATTCTTGGTTTTAAACAAAAGCTTTCCCAAAATCCGTCGATATACCCATACTATCCCATACTCTTCTTTCAGAAATCCTGCATGATTGCTGGTTCTGCCCCTTTCGTTGCCAGTATTGCTGTGTACATGCAGCGTTCGGGCCCCCAATCTTCCCTCATGCTGCAACAGTGGGGAAGGTTCCCAGGGGTCCAGAGCGAACCTGGTTGTTCCTGTTGCTGGGTGTATATCAAAAGGTTCCATTTTGTTGGTGATAATTTGTGCCGGTACCAAGAAAACATCTGCAAACACAACAGCAAGAGAAAATACTGTAAGCTTAATTTAACACACAGACACACCGCTGATTCCTGATATATATATATGTATATATGTATAATATGTCTATATATATATTATATATATATATTCTTTGGACATGACATAGATCTTGTCTAGATCATCAAAGAAATCACTCCGTATACGTATGTATATATGTATATAATATATCAAAAAACACCATGTAAATCGAGCAAAACAATGGAAACACAACTGCCGCACTACCTGGTGAATTCTGGCCGTTTCTGGCTGTTACACCATCCCTATGGCCGTATGGATGCCTCCAAGCAGCAAGTCTTCTGCATCTGCAGGCCTTAGAATACCGGAAGGGGACCAAATTCTCGAAAAATCAGGATCCAGTGATTATGAACAATGAGCAAAAACATACGAAAACTGACCAATCTGGGGGGTATCCAATTTTGAGGAACCGGCACCTACAAAATGTATCCATTTATTCTGAAGATTGCTCGCATCAAGGTACCCAAATTCCCAAACCATACCGCACTGGCTTCTCGGCACAAAGCACATTCAAACCAAAGAGCCAGTCATACAAAATTACCGTAAATTACTAGCTGATTTTTCATGAACAGCAAGAGAGCGGTCACCCTGATGACATGGTAATGAAATGTCATAACAGTGGTCAATTAAAACGAAAAATCAATCGATAAGAAAGTGTGAAAAAACAAATCCAACGTATTTACCGAGCTGCTCAGATTTTTTCTCGGACTCTGCAGTTTCCCTCCAGCCATCAGGATGCAACAAGTCTTCTGCATCTGCAGGCCTTAAAATACTGGCAGGGGACCAAATTCTCGAAAAATCAGGATCCAGTGATTATGAACAATGAGCAAAAACATACGAAAACTGACCAATCTGGGGGGTATCCAATTTTGAGGAACCGGCACCTACAAAATGTATCCATTATTATCCATTTATTCTGAAGATTGCTCACATCAAGGTACCCAAATTCCCAAACCATACCGCACTGGTTTCTCGGCACAAAGCACATTCAAACCAAAGAGCCAGTCATACTAAATTACTGTAAATTACTAGCTGGCTTTTCATGAAAAGCAAGAGAGCAGTCACCCTGATGACATGGTAATGAAATGTCATGAATCATAACAGTGGTCAATTTAAACAAAAATCTATCGATAAGAAAGTGTGAAAAACAAATCCAACGTATTTACCGAGCTGCTCAGATTTTTTCTCGGACTCTGCAGTTTCCCTCCAGCCATCAGGATGCAACAAGTCTTCTGCATCTGCAGGCCTTAGAATACCGGCGGGGACCAAATTCTCGAAAAATCAGGATCCAGTGATTATGAACAATGAGCAAAAACATACGAAAACTAACCAATCTGGGGGGTATCCAATTTTGAGGAACCGGCACCTACAAGTTGTATCCATTTATTCTGAAGATTGCTCACATCAAGGTACCCAAATTCCCAAACCATACCGCACTAGTTTCTCGGCACAAAGCACATTCAAACCAAAGAGCCAGTCATACTAAATTACTGTAAATTACCAGCTGATTTTTCATGAAAAGCAAGAGAGCAGTCACCCTGATGACATGGTAATGAAATGTCATGAATCAAAACAGTGGTCAATTAAAACAAAAATCAATCGATAAGAAAGTGTGAAAAAACAAATCCAACGTATTTACCGAGCTGCTCAGATTTTTTCTCGGACTCTGCAGTTTCCCTCCAGCCATCAGGATGCAACAAGTCTTCTGCATCTGCAGGCCTTAGAATACCGGCGGGGACCAAATTCTCGAAAAATCAGGATCCAGTGATTATGAACAATGAGCAAAAACATACGAAAACTAACCAATCTGGGGGGTATCCAATTTTGAGGAACCGGCACCTACAAAATGTATCCATTTATTCTGAAGATTGCTCACATCAAGGTACCCAAATTCCCAAACCATACCGCACTGGTTTCTCGGCACAAAGCACATTCAAACCAAAGAGCCAGTCATACTAAATTACTGTAAATTACTAGCTGATTTTTCATGAAAAGCAAGAGAGCAGTCACCTTGATGACATGGTAATGAAATGCCATGAATCATAACAGTGGTCAATTTAAACACAAATCTATCCATAAGAAAGTGTGAAAAAACAAATCCAACGTATTTACCGAGCTGCTCAGATTTTTTCTCGGACTCTGCAGTTTCCCTCCAGCCATCAGGATGCAACAAGTCTTCTGCATCTGCAGGCCTTAGAATACCGGCAGGGGACCAAATTCTCGAAAAATCAGGATCCAGTGATTATGAACAATGAGCAAAAACATACGAAAACTAACCAATCTGGGGGGTATCCAATTTTGAGGAACCGGCACCTACAAGTTGTATCCATTTATTCTGAAGATTGCTCACATCAAGGTACCCAAATTCCCAAACCATACCGCACTGGTTTCTCGGCACAAAGCACATTCAAACCAAAGAGCCAGTCATACTAAATTACTGTAAATTACTAGCTGATTTTTCATGAACAGCAAGAGAGCGGTCACCCTGATGACATGGTAATGAAATGTCATGAATCATAACAGTGGTCAATTTAAACAAAATCTATCGATAAGAAAGTGTGAAAAACAAATCCAACGTATTTACCGAGCTGCTCAGATTTTTTCTCGGACTCTGCAGTTTCCCTCCAGCCATCAGGATGCAACAAGTCTTCTGCATCTGCAGGCCTTAGAATACCGGCGGGGACCAAATTCTCGAAAAATCAGGATCCAGTGATTATGAACAATGAGCAAAAACATACGAAAACTAACCAATCTGGGGGGTATCCAATTTTGAGGAACCGGCACCTACAAAATGTATCCATTTATTCTGAAGATTGCTCACATCAAGGTACCCAAATTCCCAAACCATACCGCACTGGTTTCTCGGCACAAAGCACATTCAAACCAAAGAGCCAGTCATACTAAATTACTGTAAATTACTAGCTGATTTTTCATGAAAAGCAAGAGAGCAGTCACCTTGATGACATGGTAATGAAATGCCATGAATCATAACAGTGGTCAATTTAAACACAAATCTATCCATAAGAAAGTGTGAAAAAACAAATCCAACGTATTTACCGAGCTGCTCAGATTTTTTCTCGGACTCTGCAGTTTCCCTCCAGCCATCAGGATGCAACAAGTCTTCTACATCCGCCTGGCCGATTGCAGCTTGGGTGCTCAGCTCTCGTGGTGGCAAAGTCTCGCCAAGACGTAAAATAGTGGAGCAAGTGCGCATGCCTCAGCCGAATCCCAGCAACTGCGGCTCGACCATGAAACTGGACCTCATCAATACCGCATACCCTCTGGTATTTTAACATATATAGCTATTGAAAGTGGCCATTGAGTTCGTTGATTTACCCATTGAACATGGTGATGTTCCATAGCTATATTAGTTTATCTCAGAGTATATATTATGATGTTCACTCAACTGACTGACCTCATTTACCACATAATAAGAGTGTCCGGACAAAAGAATCTGCAGAAACAGGGAGAAAGCAATCCGTCAGCCGAGCCGCTTAGTTCTTGTGGACTTTTTGGTTTCGCCATCACGAGGTAAGTCCTCTACAGGCCTTAGAAATTGGGGCACGGGTTGGAAGGGCTGGAGGACCCAGCATTCCCTGATTTTCGACTGTTTCTAGTGAAATTCAATGACTCATGCGACTACTGGATTAATTGCAAGAATCGAGGACTGTACCCTCTGGTAAACATACAAAAAAACTATGGAAAATCACCATTTTCTAGCTGGGTAAATCCACTATAAATGGCCATTTTCAATAGCTATGTAACAAATTACCAGAGGGTAAATGCAGCTTGAAATTATCCCAACTTGTAGAAAAAAAACATGCGATCACTTGCCTCGATGGTGAAAGAGACTTACCATCACTTTTTTGCCACTACCAAATGCACATCAGTACAGTAGCTGCCTCTGCATAAGCCGAGTTACGTGGTTGTGACGTTGCAATCTGTTGTTAAGCCATAAATATTTATAGCATTTTATAGCCCCAAAAAAGATACGCGGAAATCAGTAAAATCCAACTCCAACGTAGTGGTACCTACAGTAACTGCTTGGTGGTTGAGCCCTACCCCCCTGAAAAATTATGAAAGTCAATGGGAAGGATTATCCCATATATTATGGAAAATTAAAAAATGTTCCAAACCACCAACCAGTAGTGGTACCTACAGTAATTATTCCTTCTTCTGGGATACTATAAGCAAGCTTTGTGCATCAGCCTGAGCATTCAGTGCAAGTGCTACACTGCTACACTCCAGTCGCTGCCATACGTAACAGGAATCCTTGACGTCTTTGATACTGTGGATGGTTGCGAAATCCTGCACCACCAACCGGATGGTTGAAACCCTATAAATAATTGAATAAACCGTCTATCAACTGGTGCAGGATTTCTTCCATCCACAGTATTTCACATGAGCAGTTGAGATTCGAACCCCAACCGTCCATCAGAAGTGACATATTTTAACCAAAGCTTCACAGTTATGGCCCAACTAACAGTTATTTTTGACGGGTTTATTTCATGATAGAGTTAACCTTAGTTGTAGGAGTTATAATCCCATAAACACATCCAGATGCTCCATGTATGGAACATTTACCTACATTTGGGTGATTTTTGGGGTAAATGGGGATATATATTCCATACATGGAGCATAGGATAACTATTAGTTGGGCCATAACTTCAACGTTCCGAGTCCCGAGGTCCCTTGAAAAAGGTCCCTCTCGCTCCGAGTTGCAATGTCCTGAGATGTTTCGCGATGTCTCGCCAGGAATGGAAGCAGTGAAGCAGCAAGTCTTGCAGATGCCTTGGAGGTGGAATTTCCACTTTGTTCGTTAAGTGCTTTGTAATGCATATATATATAATTATATATAACCCATATTTCAATATATTTCATCCCATATAATCCAGTGAAAATATTCCATTAATTAAATAATCTATCTGCTGGTTTTCACCCATTTACTAAGTGGGGCCCCCACCGGTAAGTAGAGATCTGCCGTATCCGTGGCCAGGTGGACCCTGGCCTGGCATCCAGCGGTTGATCGGAGAATTTTCTCCACAGTTATGGCCCAACTTTGCCAGTGATTTCTATGGACATACCACTCCTATAACTCAGGTTATATCTTATCACATAAAGACATAAAAATAACCGTTAGTTGGGCCATAACTCTATGAAATTGGAATTTTATGGGTATACCCGGGTATACAAAATATTTTCTGACAAATACATGCGCCATATCTTTTCCTACCCAAAACACAAGGCTTGTGATTCGCCCCACATTATGGGTGATAGAACCCATGGAAACCCCGGGCCTTGTCGGGCTTCCAATTTCGTAAAAAGGAACGAAGTGGAAAGCTGATTTGCATATGAATCATAGATTTATAATTAACCAAAGTATGCATGTTAGAATGGCTTCAGATGGTAAGGGGCCCAACCACACTATATAATCAAGACCCAACACCACAACCAAAAAACAAATCCGATTGATGATCCAGTCAGCCTAAGATACTCCACGAAAAAACATAAATATTCATAAATATGTAATATGTGTAATTATATATATATGGTTATACAATGTGGCTTCCCCCAGTAATAAATTGGATTGAAAACGCCATTAACTATACGTAGTTATATATATATATCATAAACCAAAGTTATTGGATTTTTACACCAACTTAGCTATCAAACGGGGGCCCCATGGTGTATTTTTATCTAGTTATCATAAAATTATCTAAATTGATGTAAACCAATGCCATAAGCCATCCGCAAGTCATCACCATTTTTGTGCCATTTTTACGTGGTATAAACTTACCATTCCCAGTCATGGGTGGTAAACATGGCATTGGTCTACCCACCCTGATACTCACCTCTGAGGCATTGGGGTGTACCACAGGGTGCTGAAAAACCACCACAGACTAGCTGGGTTAAGAAGGCTGTAGCAAAGCAAAGTTGCCGTGAAGAGGACAACTTCTGCCATGCCTCACAGACTGGCTTTCTCTGGGTCTAAAAAATGAGGGATGGGCCCCAAATCACGGGAAATTTGAGGAAAAAAACGATGAAACATGATGAACAACTATGATCAAGAGTTTTGGGGTAGCCATTTTTTTGAGACAGACCCATGTTTCAAGCTGGGGTTCGCAGAAAGATAGCAAACCACGACCAAAAATCGCAAGGCTTTGTCTTCCGGAAGAAAACGTTCCCTCAGAAATCCCTTGCCAAACTCACCCCTTGACAAAATATGACAAAAACATATAGATTTTCGACGGATGTCTTTTCTTTGCCGAGGGATTGCGACAAAAAAACTGCCAAACAAAAACCATCAAGGCCAGATGCCCCATGGTGCTGGAATATTTACCTACAAAACTAGGTGATTTGTGGGTTTTCTGTAGGTTTTTATATTCCAGCACCATGGTTCGCATATGGGAAGGCTTACCAAGAGAGATGGTGCACGTTTTGTTCATTTCTTCTCGCTGATCCCTGCTAGATCTGGATTTGCGGGACCACCATCAAGGCAACCCAAAAAAAAACAATTACATTACTTCGTGTGATCCCCACCATGACATTTATACATTTTGTTACTGGCATATCTTCTGGCATTCTACCTGACATATTTTCTGGCATTTTATCTGGCGTTCTATCTGGCATATCTTCTAGCATATTATCTGGCAAATCTTCTGGCATTCTATCTGGCAAACATTCTGGCACTTAATCTGGCATATTTTCTGG